CAGAAAGTTTCCTCCATGTTGTCAAAGATGAGCACTTAATACACAAAAAGAAAAGGAGTACTTGTGGCACCTTAGAGACTAACCAATTTATTTGAACATGAGCTTTCATGAGCTACAGCTCACACTCAAATAAATTGGTTAGTCTCTAAGGTGCCACAAGTACTCCTTTTCTTTTTGCGAATACAGACTAACACGGCTGTTCCTCTGAAACTTAATATACAGTTGTTTCTGGCATATTTTCCTCCCTTTGTTGAATAAGTGCAAAGAGGCAATATAAACATCTTATTTTCCTAAGTGACAGTATAGGGCAACAGAATTTCAAAGGCACTTAAAAACAAACAAACAAACAAAAAAAATACTCCTTTTCAGCCATGTATCTCCATTCTCTTCTATTCAAACTAAAACACTTTTGCCTTATATGTGGTTTTCTTTGTCACAATCAAATGGGAAAGCTTTTACCATCACTTAAGTAAAGAGTGGTTTAGACTTTTCTTGCCTGTGAGAGAATTCCTTCAATAGATTTTTACACAGTTCCCCAGAATCTACACCTTAAGAGTCAAGGCTTGTTTACACAGCAAGCCAGGGCATGAATCTACAATGCACAAGCTTGCGGAGCAGTAACGTCCCACATAAATACAGGAGGTCAGAGTAAATGATTTAATGGTCCCTTCCGGCCTTAAACACTATGAAAATATGAAACATGGACCCTGCTACAGCACAGCGGAAGTCTCATAGCAAGGCTTAGCATACTATACTTTCAAGTAGAAGTATGCACAGCTGCACACTGGGACTTCTGCTGTGGTGTAGCAGCGTTCACACAGAACATTCCTGGGCAGCAATCACACTCTGACATGCAGTGCAGTAACTTGCCATGTAGCCAAGCCCTAAGTATCAACCATTGTGGATAGAACATCTTGTTCGGTGCGGATGCTCACATCAGGCATGTTCTGATTTTCAAATTGCTATTAGAACTTTGTTCATCTTTAAGCGGAACATAGTAACAAACAAAGGAAGTGTTTTACAGCAACTAAAAAGAGCTGCTGTATATTCGCTAACTAAATGAGAACAATTTGGGGGTGAGTTCTGATTTCCCTGACTTAATCCAGGAGTCTGCACCAGGGAAAAGGGATGAGTAAATAAATTGAACAAGTTTCTAAAAATATCCTGCACCAGTGCGGAAAAACTCCATTAAAGATTTTTTTTTTAAACCAGTGATAAACCCCAATCTAAATTTTTCGGTCCAGTCTCCACATCTTACTGTGGGAGAAAGTTGCAATTCTCCACATTCTTGTCACTCTAGTTTGGAGACAGTGAAGGGTGTTTTTAATCTATTCCTGTAAGGAAAGAATCCCAAATTTTTATGAAGGTAGCTAATTTGGTCTCTCCTGCAATTTATACACTTTTTAGCTTGACTGCTCTCTCTGAGATTGTTGTACTAAATTAGGAGGGGTGGGACTTTCCCCACTTCTAAGCACTGACCAGTCTGACTACAAACAATAGAGCATCAACCAACCTCGTTCTTGTCTAATTAGCAAGCAAAGTCCATTGACTGATAACTTGAATCTAAAATATGACTTATCCTGTTAGAATCCCTATGCTGATATTAGACATTTTCAGGAGGTGGCAGAGTAAATATTAGTCCTGCTTACAAATACCCCAGCATTCCCTACAGTTTTGCAAAAGAAAGGATATAATTTGGCAAGGTGATAATATCCTGAATCTCAGTGCATAAGAGTGATCTGGTTTGGGCTGCCCACATAAGGCCCAGTGGTGCAATATGCTGAGCATCCTCAAGATCCAATTACTTCAATAAGAGTTAAATGTGAATATGTTTAAATAAAAAAAAAGAACAGTTTTCAATAGATTTTTTTCATTGGGTGAATCCGATAAGTCAGCTTTTGCAATGCGTTACAGGTTGATGGAAGGGTTACACTGGCCTGTTATGGACTGCAAAATGAGTTTGAGTCATACAACAAAAACATATTGTTTAAAAACTAGTTTGATCCTTAAAAATCAGTGAGATCTGTAGTGTATCGTGTGAACATGAAACAAAATGCAGCTGTCACATTTTGGTCATTTGAGGCTGAGGGTGAGTTGGAGGGGGCTGCTGGAGATCTGGGGAAGGGAATGCTCCTTCTTCCTGTGAATTATGCATGGGCCCTGCAGAATGGCTCCCTTCTCTGCCCCTCCCTATCTAAAATCTACTGTTGGCTCCCACCAGCTCTTTAGACCCCTTCTTTGTTCCTAGGAGAGGAGGGACAGAGAAAAGCACGGGGCACAAAGCTATAACAGGAGGGGTCTCCTTCTCCTGCCACCTACAAGCCAACAGCAACTTGTTCTCTGGAGGTACGCTGCTTGAGAAATTGGTATGGGAGGACTGGGACTGGACTGAACTGAACTGAATGGAATGTCACATAATCCCATACATCTGAGAGCCCTAATGATGTTGGGTTTACTTTTTGCTTTACTGGGGCAATTACAGATACTGATTCAACTTCTTTGGTTTACAGTTTGCCTCTATCAGTCTCACTTGCTGGTTCTCCTGAATTAGCAGAGCGTTGCAAATGTTTGAGTTTCAAATGCTGCAAGAGATGTTTCCACCGAAAACTTAAAGTTCATGGAAATTTTTCTATTGCAGCTTATCTTTTCAAAGATTTTGTTTAACAAAACCCAACAAATTGTGAGTCTAAAACTACCTGACAGTGCCCCTTTAAAGATTTCTGACATGGACCGGTGATTGCTGAGGACTGCAGATGACAAAAGGGAAGGGCCAAGAGGAAAATTCAGTTGAAAAGTTTAAAGGCTCAATTCTTTGGGCTCAGGTAAACTTTTTCATTGAACTCTAAATAAATTCTGTGGCCACACGTAAGGTTCGCAGACATATGAAGCAGTTTACATACCCACCATTCAAGAAATCTATGAGAGCACTTTAAATTTCTTTGGTGTATACAGTAAAAAGCATTCATCAAAAGAGAAGGAAGAAAGAGTTAGGGAGCTCATCTAACCACTGAAGGATACTTAGACTCAAGGACCTGGCACTTTCATCATCTTCTTTTGTACAACAGAATGTGATCTCACACTGGGAAGGACAGAGAAACGTCTCAGCTACAAAATACCAGACTCTGCTAAGGAAGCAGAGGAGACAGTGCAAATACTTTCGTTTTCAGTAAAAAGAATGAGGAGCACCTGTGGCACCTTAGAGACTAACCAATTTATTTGAGCATGAGCTTTCGTGGGCTACAGCCCACTTCATGAGATGCATGCAGTGGAAAATACGGTAGAAAGATATATATATACACGCAGAGAACATGAAAAAATGGGGGTTGCCAGTGTTAGCTTTGTAGCAGATACAGTGTATCGCATCTTATATAAAATAATATTGTACACACACTACTCATTCTTCTATTTTCTAGTGTTTAGTGTGTCATGTGTACATTACTCTCCACTTGTTCCTCATGAGGTGAAGTAAAACTGGAACTTGCAACTTTCTTTTTCCTCTTCATTGTCGTTATGGGTCACCTTCATAGCTAGGTATGTAGTTCCCCCCTGCTGTGCTTCTGCTCCTGCACAATCAAGCTTTCTCTGCCAACAGTTCCAATTCTGGGACAAGACCATTCTCCTCTATGGTATACTACAAGATTCATTTCTCACCCCATGGCTTTTTTTCCTATATATCTTCTGCCTCTTGGCCCTTTTATCTCTACCTTCAATTGTATGTAATCCCTCCTGTGCCTTGTCTTAGTCAATTTGTGATTTCAGTCTAAAATTGTTTTAGTATTTAAGTATTTCAGAAGAACTGCCGTTCTCTTGAGAGACAAGGTGGGGGAGGTAATATCTTTTATTGGACCACCTTCTGTGAGAGAGACAAGCTTTATTACACAGAAGCCATAGATATTATAACAATCTATACCCCATTAACACCCTCTCCCCTGCCCAGATGCTTCCCTCCCTCTGACTGGAGGGGTGTTAATGGACCATATAACCTTGAAAGGTCCTTTGAAATATGTGTTAACTATTCATGCTAAACAATGTGTTCCATCTTGTATTTAGCTGTGACACTCCCAGACCTGAAGAAGAGCTCTGTGTAAGTTTGGAAGCTTATCAGACCATAAACAGGGAACTCCTATTACTCAAGTTTCTCCTACCTCACATCCCAAATAGTCACATTCCTAATCACAGCGGGTACCTTGACTGCCTGGCAGTATAAGAAGCCATTTAAATGAAATAATTATGTTTGCTCTACAGCTTTAATTATGCAGCCTACTCAGATGAAAGTCTAACAGATCAGTTTCTGTTGTTGCCAATGGGTTTTTTTGAATCAGTGACCATACAAGTTCACTTTTAGCAACATACTATTGCCTAGCTAAAAATGAAGGCACTATATTTCCTTTCTTCACAATCTCTTCATTAATCTGGAACGGGTCCCTAACCCCCTATAACCTTTTAAACAGTATCTTTGGGGAGCACAAAATGCAGAGAGATACCAGAAAGATTACTTAAGCTGTTTTCCTTCCATCCATCTAAATACTCCTGCATAGTCAGTGCAAGTGGATATATGGTTAGCTGCTACAAAAAGCCCCAAACCTAAAGGCAGATTTATGACTAACATTTTCTGATATTAGTTCCTTCAGGTCTGATGAAAAAGTTTAAATTTCAGGTTGTTTTACCATCTATGTAACTTGAGAGAAGACAGAGGCTGACATTCCTGCCTTCTGGATCAGGGCACAGTGGAAAAAAATATATAGTAAGTTTAATCATCCATATCGTCAGGAGGATTTTATTTTATTTTTTTATTGCTCATCTAATCTCTTGAGCCTTGCACTAAATTGATGTCATGATTTTAGTGGAATGAAATCAAAGAGAAATGCCATGTTTTAATTTAAAGTTCCCTGCTCCTTTGATGCTAGAAGTCTGGATTTTCACACACAAATTAAGCTGCTATAATATACGTGCCACTGCCTAAGGAAGCAAAAACCATGCCAGAATAATTTCTCTCTCACCTCAGCTTTGCGGATACTCTCTCTGGCTTCATCTATTTTCTGTTCCAGTTCTGCTCGGCTTTGTTCAGACACCACAGGTCCATGGCATTCTAACTCCTCAAGCGCCTATCAAAAATAATAGAAAGATACATTTGGTACATTCATATGCACTGTCTATAAGATAATATTTGTGACAATTCACGGTACTAATCATATTCAGATGCCAGGGTGATGAATAGTGCTACATTGCAGGATAAAAACTCTGCAGAATGATGCAACCCCATTTAAAAAGCTCAATCTTTTATGGGTAAAATTATATCTTAGGAAAACTGTATTCTGAAAATGCCCCAAAATCCTAGTAAAGCATCATGATGTTACAACTATGATCTAACATTCAAGTGACAGTTCACACTCTTGTTCTCATTATGAACTTTACACCTGAAGACCATCCCATCAAAACCCACGTACTTTACGGTGCTTGTTGAAGGAGTGAGTTAAGAGATAAGTGGTAAGACAAAGTAGGATGGAAAAGGAGTACTTGTGGCACCAAGTACTCCTTTTCTTTTTGCGAATACAGACTAACACGGCTGTTACTCTGAAACCTGTCAAAGTAGGATGGGTGATTTATTTTGTGTTGGTATGGATTGACTGGTTGGGGCAACTTGCATTCCAGATTTGTATGTCTGCAAGAGCACAAAGTGCTTTTGGGTGAGAGGATTAAAAAAGAGCTGAAGAAAATAAAACAATAATAATAATAATCCTCAAAGTAAATTAACAAAATAACTCCCTGATTCTGGGAAGCACTTAAATATTTGCTTAACTTTAAGCATGTGCTTAAACCCCTCTGACTTCAGCGTATGCTTAAGTACTAATGTGAATAGAAGTGCTAGTGTGAACTGAAGCCCCCGTGAAAAAAATAATCACAAAAATTGTCAAGTCAATGCTGCTGGTAGTCCCACTAAGACATGATACAAGGTGTCCGTCCCTCCTGTGCACTTCAACATTAAATTTAAGTTATTAGAATCCATGTAATAGATCTTAATTTAGCATCTCTTCAGCTTGTTTGCATTTTTCTCATGTCACCTGATGCATTTATTTATTTTCAACCTACCCGTTGATTATGGATGATGTTTTTGTGCTCACGTGCCACACGGGTGGCCCATTTCCGGGCTTCCTTGTTTAGGCTGTGCTCCTCCGTTGTCCCAGTTTCAGATTCCAGTTGTCGACTCTGGAACACAAATCAGAAAGTGAGCAGTGTGCTAAGGATTTTGGGGCTGTCTCCATGTATAATACGGTTACTTAGCAACCTGACAACTTTATTTAATTCTAATGCTCAGTTTCTTGTAAATTCCTTGCTTGGTACCTTGTTTGTAATGAAATAAGACAACAAACGAAGAGGGAAAAGCACTGTTTTTCATAAGCTTTGTCATGATACTGTGTTGTGGAAAACGGACTATAAAAGCAAACTGAAGTTCAAAAGAATTTACAATTTACTATTTTGAAGAGAAGTCATCTTTACCATGGAGACAATGCCAGACGGAGATTTTTTTTTTTTTAAATGAAAGATATTCTTGAAGTAGAACACTGAAGTATTATTCATCACGGCACAATATCATGGAGCTGAATAAGAATAAATGCCCCCGAAGTAAACTGCTATCCTTAGTTTCCCAGATACATATGCATTTTAGGCAGTATTTAAAAACAGGCATTTCATATGATGTGATGGATCATTTAGGCTTTGTTCAAAAAATGGCATTTAAAAAAAATTATATTTTTTTTAAAAAGAGCGAATTGGAAAATCAAATTACAATTTCATATGGATTTTAAAGAGTTAACAAAATATTGTACACACATTTACCTGGGACTAAAAAGTTATCCTTCCACCAGTACTATACATGCCAAGTTTCAGAGGAAGGATTCTACACCAGAGATATTTGTTGATGATACTGTGCTACCATTATGTCAACTCATACCTGCTCCAGTAAATGAGAAAGTAAATCTCTCCCCCCCACCCCAAAAAGGGTCAGATAAAGTGAAATCAGAAGTCAAGAATCTGAAAGTTTCCCAGTTTTGTACTGAATCAATCCTGTTCAATCTGGATATAGGAGACAAGTTGTTCCATATTTACCTATCATCTCTGTCTCCCATTTTAAATTTTTTTTTGCATAACTGGCATAGCAAATAATTCAATGAATTTAGGTATAAATCAATACATTTAGGACAAAAAGGACTAAGTTTTACCACCTACCCAGTCCCTATCCTTTCCAGAAAGTATATCTTGTGATATTCCTTAACTATTTATCCAGTTCTGGACAAATTTGCTCTTGCTATACTGAATAGTGGTAACCCTATAGAGATCATTCCTTTCTGATTCAATCTCAATCCTCCCCCTCCCTCCAAAAAACAGGAATTAGAGATGGAAGAAACATGCTTAGGTCATCTTGTTCACCTCCACTGTCAGTGCAGAACTGTCCCTCACAGTACTCTCTCTAGTGCTTTCTTGGATGACTATGCCTCAGTCCAATGGATCTCACTACCAGAAAATTTTTCTTGATCAGTCTAATATTTTTGTTTAATTTCAATCCATAACTCATTCTATGCCTAGTACCATAGGAAAACATTCTGTCTTCATTAGTGTAACCTTATACACCATTTAGTTTTGTACACCCTTAGACACAAACTAGAAGAAGATAGCTGTTGCCTCAAAGGCCACGTGAAAATAGTAGCAGTAGTGTGTTTTATCAAGAGATTTCAATAAAAAAAAGAAAGCTGTGTGGTACACAAGAAGGGAGGAGTTTCAGACTTAAGGGGCGGCTTCGAACTAGATACAAAAACAAGTGTGAAGAAGAAACAAGAAGCAAACAAGCAAGGCTTTGAGGAGGGCAGACTGGGAGAAGAGGGAGATTAGGAGAAAATCAGAGCAGAAAGACAAGGAATGAGTTGATCAGTTCTTTTAGGGAATATATGAAAAGTGTGAAATTGATGCAGAGTTTGACATGAGTGTGTGTGGATTTAATAGGATGAGTGTCATGATTTGTGTGGCAGGAAAGGAAGAAGATTTTAGTGGCAACACTGAGGTGAAAAAGGAGAAAGATTTTTCACCTTTAGATTATAAGGCCTTCAAGGGAGAGACCCTCTAAGTGATTTGCACAGACATTCATACAATGTCATGTACACTGTGATACAATACAATTATTACTAGTAATTTTAAGAAAGGTAAATGTAATGCATCACTCCTGGATGGGTCACTTGTGGTGAGGATTGAATCTTCGACCTCTGGATCTAAAAGCATGAGCCATCCACAATCAGTAGTTCTCTTAACACAAAGCCAGAGGCAAAATCAAACCTTTATATAGTTCAGCCACTAGAAGGGGACAGAGAGCCACACTGTTACAGAGCAGTAAGAGCAACAGGATTTGAAGAACCAAGCTTTGGAGGACATGAAAGATGAGGAGGGAAATAATTTACATAAGACTGAACTTGAAAGCCTGTGTGGTAGAAGGATAGAGCTTGTCTACAACAAGAAAAGAGAGAGGAAAAGGTGGATTTTTTTCCAGGTTCATTATCATGCAGTTGCCTTCTGCATGTATTTTTAATTTCTGTAGGTACCTCTGAATGATTTCTCTCAGTGTTTACAACACACCCCAATTTATTATCCATCTCAAAATATGCCCCTAGATGATGTCCTTATCACCTATTGCAAACAGATTATTGCATAGGTCCTGTGAATCTACTCCAGGTGCTTACAAAGCATAATAAAAGTGGCACACCACTTCATTTTTCCCATGCTTTCTTAATTAAACCTTTCTTGTTATAACTTTCCTTCCATAGCTCAGAGTTCACAGCCAGTAAGGTATCACCAAGAACCATGTCTGACTTTGCCTTCCTTGTTACCCATAGAAATCATCTCTGTAACAAATTACCAAAGTTCCCACCGACTGGCTCCCTATAGTCCTGGTTTCCTTGCATATCTAGTTTAGATAAAATATATCTTCTCCATTTCAATTGCTTGATAACATTTTGCATTATCTTAAGTGTGTTTTTATTTTTGTATTACAGTATTTGAATAGAAAATATAAAAGCAAATTTAGATGCTGGCCCTCTGAGTATGGACTGTTAGTGGACTATGATGGTTATACCAGTTGGTTATTTATTACACAGTATTGTTTCCAAAGAGCCCTCATCCTGACTTGAAGAACTGAAGAATACCAACATAAAAATAGTTAATTAAAAACAGAGCTTTATTTTAAAAAATCATGCAGGTCACATTTCTCAAAAAGCATCTTAACTGGATCAGTACCTTCCATCCTGAAATTAGAGGGAATATTTATATAAAATTAATTTTTTCACTGATAAATGATAACTAGATATTGTACAAGTTAATTTATACTCAGCATTTATATAATTCTTTATTATTAAATATTTATACCACAGCATCACCCAGACACCTCAATCAAGTGCTGTGCTGCATGAACAAATACAAAGACACATTGCTTCCTTAGAAGAGCTTGCTAAGAAGAAAATTTACAATCTCATTTACACTGTCAAAAACATTTACAAACATTAACTTTCAAATCCTTTTTACCACATAAGTCTTCAACTTAGATCCCAGTCCTGCAAATACTTAAGCATGTGCTCTATTGCAGTGGTTCTCAATAAGGTGTACAGGTACCCCTGGGGGTACACACAGGTCTTCCCAGGGGTACATCAACTCATCTAGATATTTGCCTAGTTTTACAACAGGCTACATAAAAAGCACTAGCAAACTAAACTTTCATACAGGTAAAATGAGAAAGTCAGCAATCTTTCAGTAATAATGTGGCTGTGACACTTTTGTACTTTTAGGTCTGATTTTGTAAGCAAGTAGTTTATAAGTGAGGTGAACCTTGGGGATACACAAGACAAATCTAACTCCTGAAAGGGGTGCAGTAGTCTGGAAAGGTTGAGAACCACTGATCTAGTATATCAAATATAAGCTACCTGTCTTCACTTTCAAGACCCTTCATGACGTTATCTCCACCCTACCTATCTTTCATACAGTATCGAAAGTTTGCCTCCCGCATCTGATGGTGGCAGACTATATTAGCCTCTATCCCTTGCTCATTAAATTCACTAACAAGTACCTTTATGCTTTCTCCCATGCTGCCCTTCACACTTGAGGGGAGACAACCATAAAAAGCTAACTCATTATTCTCCTTCAAATCCCTCCTTAAAACTCTCCTTTGCCACAAAGCCTACAAAAACACACTTGACAATAGTCAGGCTACTGGTGTGCGGGGGTTACTGCCTATCAGGTGACCAATACTGTCTCATTGTTTTCTGTACTCCCGTAGGTCTGTCTATATCGATCGGTTTTCTTTTGTCTTATATTTAGGTTGGAAGCTCTTTGGGGGCAGGGACTGTTTTTGTTCTGTGTTTGTACAGCGCCTAGCACAATGTGGTCCTAGTCCACGACAGGGGTTCCTAGGCATCATGATAATACAAATAACATTTAATTAAGGTGCTTAATTTTAAACATGGGAGCAATCCCACAGATTTCCAGTTACTTCACTGGGACCACTCACAAGCGCCAAGTGTTTAGGATTGGGGTCTTCATTTGTTGCAAGGTATCTGACTTGATTTAATCTCTTTCAAAAAGGAAAACTAAACTGCTTCTACTGGCTAGAGAGCAAAGAAAGGGCCCAACAAGCTGAGCTAAATACAGATGAACTTTCTGCTTTAGTCTCTCAGCTTGGAGTACAGTGAAAGCAGTGTCAAGTGCTAAAACTCAGTCTTTTAAAGCAAGCAAACAAAATACCTTGTCATCTAAAGAACATGAAGTCACTGACTCGTTGCAAAGTTGAGAGACTAACAATTATATGCTGATTCTCAAAAAAATTACTGTATTTAGTTTGTAGTTATGTCTCCAACTTTTGTCCAAAAGGCTATTACAGGTGCAGGATTTGTCTTACAGAGGCAAGTATGCAGCTTGTATATACTCGTACATGCAATTATGCTGGATTCAGACTGCACACTTGTAGTTTTGGCAGTAAGAAATGTTGACTCCCTTGAACCTAATAAAAGCTCAAAGTATTTTTCTAGCCTATAACAAAAAATAACTGTTTGACAAAGAATAGAAAGAAGTAAACATATACTACATGCAAACCACTAACACAAAGCACACCTAAAAATCTCAGCCAGTACTTTTTAAAAGTTCAAAATACTATGCTACCATGCCAATGGCATATT